GTTTTTTTTTTTTTTTTTTTTTGGATGGTTTGAGGTTTTTCACAGCACTAAATTGGAGTTTCCAATATAACTCCAATATAAAATAAAAATAAGCACATTCCAGGTGTAGAGACACATCATGTCTTGGCTTATCAACACCATCTAAGCTAACTGTTGCTTTATTCATAACATATTTAATTCTGTATTTCCTGCTGAATGCCTTCAATGCAGTGCAGATACGGGATTTACATGGAGGCGGTGCTCAGAGGCAGATGTTGATCTGTTTGGCGAGTTCACGCTCCAGGTCTGAAATTAGGTTATCAAAGTCTTTCAGACTCAGTCTGCATGTAAACGGTGCGTCAAAGTCCAGCGCAAAATCGTCCGTGTATACCCAGTCCTTTTTCTTCTCCTCGTCCTCATCGCTCTCACTGCCTGCCACCTCGTCGTAATCGGCATCGTCGTTGGTCAGGAAGTCCCGCCCACACACGCTCCAGTCGCCAGCATAGCGATTACAGGGTGGGCTTTCCAGACGTCCACGCCCCCTGCGCGACACCACTGCCACGTCCTGTGGTAACGGCAGCTCCACGCGTAATGACGGGCGCTGAGCACACCGCTGCAGGGAATTCTGGGAGGGAGGAGCCTCTTCATCCTCTGAACGGTAGGGTGATTGAGCTGGCACTCTTACTGTTGGAACTATAATAGAAATATTTTGTTAAAGAAGGGAAGCATTTACAATAAATCATGTTATTTTTAAAAATTATTTATACATTACTACTCATGCATGTTCTCATTGGACAGCAATTTAAACATCAACATTTCTGTAAACATCCCCTAGCTTCCCAGCTTAGATAACTGTAACGATAGTGGCGATAAGCTGAAGTGTTGCATACATTCAGTACAGCACTGTGGAATTCCCAAACCGGATTGGTCCAAAGGTTTTGATTAACATTCTGTGACAGCAGCTCTGAGAGTGACGCTGGCTGTAATTTGAATCTCAGGTTAATATTAATGCGCTTGTTCTTATACATTATCGTTTCTATAGTAACAGCTCATTCACTGGGACTAATCTAAGTCTTATTAATAATAAACTATGCTATACAAAACGTTGTTATTTAACAAAGAAAAGTGTGTAATGAAGTTTTCTGTTAGGAGATATTTATGTAATGTTTATGGAAGGAGTTTTCAGTGTTAGCACTTTGTAACAGTCAGTATATAACGATAAAAATGAGGACACACCATAAACACTGAAATAACAGAGTGAGAGGAAGAGGACTCATGTAACAAAGATTTCATCTTGTCCTTTGCATAATAATAATAATAATAATAATAATAATAATAATAATAAAAAATTCTAGTTATTTCTTACACTCATTTATGAGTACAAGAGGTGAAAGTGATGAGAAGATAATGGAAAACTGAAATTAAATGATACAAACAAACAGCTGTAAAGTATTTACTGTTATGATAAATGTTATGACTGGTAGAGATAAAAATGTGTATAATCGCATTAACACACATGCACACTCACACATGCACGCACACGCGCGCGCGCACACACACACACACACACACACACACACACACACACACACACCAGGTTTTGTGCTTGATCTACTTTACAAATTCTCCACAGCTGGAAAGAGAAGCTCAAAGTCCAGCTGTGTGTATGACACATGAGGCATGTGGCAGGATTAAAAATGGCAGCCATTACTGCTGACAGGCATGAAGTTTTTAAGGAATGCTTTGCCAAATAACACTCATGTTGGTGAGAGGGTCTGAAAGTAGGTCGCCATTAAAAAAACAGTTCTGTGTGTGTACGTTATTTAAATGTAGGCTTATTGTCAATGTGTGATTTAGGAACATGCAGTGAAAGACGTTAAGTGAAAGATGATGTTAATCGCTCACTCACTCGGCCAGAGCTGCAGCAGATAGTGCAGAGCCTCGATGTGCCGCTTGAAGTCCACAGCACTGGCCATCTCCATGCTCTGCTGTGTGAAGCATCTTCCTCCCAGGTGGCTTCCAGGTCCTGCAGGGGCTGATGGGAACGCGCCAGGCCCTGCCCCTTTCCATGAGTCCTGCGTCGGAGTGAGCAGAACAGGGCCGAAACACACAGCAAGGTTCTGACATGTCATCAGATTACAGTCGCTGAAGGAAGCCACCAGACTCAGGTGATCCAACAGGAGAGACAGGGTGGCCTGGAGAGAGTGCGTACACACACACACACACACACACACACACACACACACAGTTATTTCATCAAGTATGAGAAAACAAACTTACATTCTGTCAATGCCTGTGCCATTTCCCTAAATCAACAACAACAGGTACATACAGGTGTATTATGATTAAACATGCATGCGCACACACACAGAACATACAATCAGACACACACAGGACATCACACACACCACGAAACATACAGCGAGGCACACACAGGACATCACACACACCCTGAAACACACACAGACATGCACACGCAGACACAGTACCCTCTCTGGTTCAGGTAGACACTGCAGCAGGGCGACGGTGTTGTGTGATCTGTGTGTGTCGTCGTTCCTGCATGCTGGTCTAACACACATGGCCTCCAGCACCACCTCATACAGAGTCCGAGTGATGAGCGGCGATGGCAGCTCACGCAGATAATCCTTCAGAATGCCTGTAGACACAGCATTCTGACACATCACACTGAGGAACTCGAGCTGTATTTGTGTGTGTGTGTGTGTGTGTGTGTGTGTGTGTGTATATGAACTCACCAGTAATGACATTGATGTCAGGGTACAGCTCTTCACTGAGAGTGACGGCCGCACTGTCCTTCTCAAATGCATCACGCAGCTCCTTCTTAACAGCCGCAGAGCCACAGAGACGATACAGACCCACAACCTATACAATATACACACACAAAGCTTTTAGATTGGCCTGCTTAGAGAGCTCACATTACAGGTCAGTGAGAACAGTCAGGTCTTTTCGGTAAGAATAATGGCCAATGAGGCATCCCAATATCAAAAACAACCTGACACGGTGGAAATAGAGTTATTGTGCTTACACCAAGTCTATGTTTAAAAAAAACACAACATGAACATTTGTATGTTGTGCTTCATCTTAACAGATTGCAAACAATACACTCATTTTATTTATCCACATTGCTAGTATGCATCTTTTCTGTCATGCTATTTGTCTAAGCAGATGCCTGTTATGATGGTTTTATTTCAACACAGTTGCAGGTAGAAGTGAGTATTTCCCATACTATGGTATAACCCAGGGCTCCTCAAGCATCATGTAGCCAGGAACTCCTTTAACTGTAAAATAAATTCCCCCTCAGATTTATTTCATGGAAAATTATTATAAATATGTACAATAATATTTTGTCTGTTTATTAGAGCCAAAACATTAGATTCAAGTTGACATTATTAATAGACTACTTGTTTTTCATTTATTGAGGTCTGGATTAAACCCGTTCGATTCGAAGTGAACAGTCAAAGTGGTTAATAACTAGAAGAGCTCAATACTAAATACAAAAACTTTGATAATGATGGGTTGGGAGTTTCACTGCTGTAACTAAATTAAACAAATCACAACCCCCTGGCTATACCTTACAGATCCCATTTTCAGAATCAAGTAGATATCAAGCTGTAATGAATGACTGCTTAGTTAGAAGATGAAGTGATTCCACCACTCCACATTTAATTTGGTCAATCACTATAGTCTCAGTCCCATCCCTTTTAACTGTCCTATATTTATACTGTATTTTTCAGCCCAAACACACTGGACAGTTATACATACTTAAAGATTGTCTAGAACCATGCATACTGTAAGCATGAGATTTCATAATTTTCTAAACTGGAAAATTAGTCTAATGGCTGTAAATGTGGTCACATATATAGTTTTACAATAAAAAAGTTTTACCTTGAGTCCCCGCTTTTCAATCTCAGCCACACATTTTTGAATGATGAGAGGCACTTTGGGAACACAGGCCTCTTTCTCCACCAGGCGGCGCAGCTCCACGCCGAATACGGAGGGGGGAGGCAGCTCGCTGAGGCGGGGCGATGGCGCCTCCCACTGCTCCA